ATGTTAGGTAACAAGACAGTATGTTAGGTAACAAGACAGTATGTTAGGTAACAAGACAGTATGTTAGGTAACAAGACAGTATGTTAGGTAACAAGACAGTATGTTAGGTAACAAGACAGTATGTTAGGTAACAAGCAGTATGTTGGGTTTAACAGGACAGTATGTTAGGTAACAGGACAGTATGTTAGGTAACAAGACAGGATGTTAGGTAACAAGACAGTATGTTAGGTAACAAGACAGTACGTTAGGTAACAAGACAGTATGTTAGGTAACAAGACAGTATGTTAGGTAACAAGACAGTATGTTAGGTAACAGGACAGTATGATAGGTAACAGGACAGTATGTTAGGTAACAAGACAGTATGATAGGTAACAAGACAGTATGTTAGGTAACAGGACAGTATGTTAGGTAACAAGACAGTATGATAGGTAACAAGACAGTATGATAGGTAACAAGACAGTATGATAGGTAACAAGACAGTATGATAGGTAACAGGACAGTATGTTAGGTAACAAGACAGTATGTTAGGTAACAGGACAGTATGTTAGGTAACAGGACAGTATGTTAGGTAACAGGACAGTATGTTAGGTAACAGGACAGTATGTTAGGTAACAGGACAGTATGTTAGGTAACAGGACATTTATGATAGGTAACAGGACAGTATGTTAGGTAACAGGACAGTATGTTAGGTAACAGGACAGTATGATAGGTAACAGGACAGTATGTTAGGTAACAGGACAGTATGTTAGGTAACAGGACAGTATGATAGGTAACAGGACAGTATGTTAGGTAACAGGACAGTATGTTAGGTAACAAGACAGTATGTTAGGTAACAAGATAAGTCTCACCTCTGCCAGGTTGCGTGTGATGGCGCCTCCCAGCGCTGTAGGAACTCTCTCTGTCTCTTCGTCATCCTTCAGAACTGTGGGAACAACACACATTACTCTCAGAAGTGGCAAATCTTTCATAACTTAGACGTATCTGGGGGATTCTCTGTGGGATCCGGAGAACAGGTATCCCCTATATCTCGCAAACCGAGCCCCCCCTGTACCTCAATACAAGGAAGAACAGTGTAGGGTATGCCTGGGGTGTTCCGGGGGTCAACGCCCCCGCGGCCCGGTCCATGACCAGGTCTCGTGGTCACAGAAATATCCTAATGAAGAATAATGTAAGAAAACAAATGTGTACATAATTATACATGGATATTTTCTCTTCTGTATGTCTATGCATGCATGTGTTTGTTTTTGGGGTATATATGTATGTATGGATGTTCAGATGTATACTTGTGTATGTGAATATATAATATATATATATATATATATATATATATATATATATATATATATTATATATTATTATATATATATTATATATATATATATATATTATATATATATATATATTATATATATATATATATATATATATATATATATATATATATATATATATGTATATATGTCGTGCCGAATAGGCAGAACTTGCGATCTTGGCTTAAATAGCAACGTTCATCTTGCCATATAGGACAAGTGAAAATTTATGTATGCAATAATTTCGCCAAAATCATTCTGAACCTAACGAAAAAAATATATTTCACTGTGTTTGTTTAGTATTAAATTATTGTAAACAAATCTAAAATATATTTAGTTGGGTTAGGCTAAAATAAATTGCTCTTGTTATAATAAGGTTAGGTAAGTTTTCTAAGATTCTTTTGGAGCAACATTAAAAATTTTTACATTAACATTAATGAAAAAAATATATCTTTAAACGCATAAAAGAAAATTTTAGAAAGGACTTAATTTTAAATGAGTTCTTGCTAATTGACCAGTTTTACATATTCGGCACGACACACACACACACACACACACATATATATATATATATATATTATATATATATATATATATATATATATATATATATTATTGCAGTATGTATAGAGATACATATGTAAACTTGTGTATATGTATTAATGAAAGTATGTGTAGACACGGGTATCACTCCGTATAATAGCAAGACACTTCGCAGAAGATGTATAATATATCCACTACAAAGCCTGTGGTTTGACTAGAATTCCTTTAGTGTGAGAGGTTCCCGACTCTTCAACTCCCTTTCTTGCTTAAGGGGAATTACCAACAAACCTCTGGCTATTTTCAAGAGGAAACTGGTCATGTTTCTGAAATCAGTTATCAGCCAGGCTGTGGCTCATATGCTGCACTGCGTGCGACCAGCAGTAACAACCTGGGTGATTCAGGCCTTGATGGTCCAGGTCTGGACTAGGACTGGGTCGTGGAGACGTTGACTATCGGAAGCATTCTTCAGGTACCCTTCAGGTATACATATGCGTTGTGCATGTATATATGTATACACACAAACGCATATGACACATAACATGAATTTCTAACTGCAAGAAGACAGTTACTTAGCAACAGTTGGCCAACCAGTCCGACAGAGTCGTAATTTAAAAACTCTGAATATTATTATAAAAAGAAAATATCAGAAATGTGTGTGTCCGCAGAAACCAATACAAGGATCTAATGGAACTCAAGCAAGTTACTCTATACAAGGACGTGTACTAGACCAGCGAACTGTAAAAAAAATATGTTTTAAATTAAACTTTGTTGATGGGTCTTTTAGGGAGATTCAGAAGGGAAGTTGTAAATGTTGGTAGAATAATTTAGGAAAATATGTAAAGTAAGGAAATTAAAAATGAATCTAGGAAAGAGGAAGGTGATGCAAGCAATTGAAAAAAATCTAGACAATGAAAGATTGGATATCAGATTAGACTGCAGGGGTGCTTAACCTTTTTACGATTACAGAACATCAATAGATTGCCCAATATGTGCTCATATTCCCTTCACCAGACTGTGAAAATCATCATCACCACTACTAGTCCTATTAGGTACCAGTATGGATACCTAAGAACAACAGCTGATAGTTATACTAATATAACATTTCTTTTTAAATTGTTTAGAAATCGAGTCCCATAACCCCATTATTTGGTTCCCATACCTCCAGTGGGTATGAATACCCCCGGTTAAGTACCCCTGGATTAGAGGAAGAGAATATGGAGGAATTGAATATATTCAGATATCTGTGTGGGGAATATATCGGCAGATGATTCTTTGAAAAGAACCGTTAAACAGACGATGGTACAAGGTAGCTGGTGAGGTGAAACATCTGTGGAAAGAAAGAATTGTATCAGTTAAGGCAAAATAAGGGTAATGGCCCAGTATACAGTGATATCAATATTTTTGTTTGAAAGTGATTTATAGGCTTTAAGCGTTACTGACTGCGCCATGGGGGCGTTGACCCCCGAAATCCTGTACAGGTATTCTCCAGGTATACTGCGACGAGGAGGCTAGAGGCGGTGAAGCCGTGTTTGTTGTTGTTAGGGTTTATAGGGTCCCTGACAGCTGACGCCGTATCGAATCCTATGAAGATGTATTTGAGGGCGATGTGTAGCATCAATATTATGCTGTGAATTTTGAGCATAGAAATTGAAGACAGTGTGCGGTTACTAAAGGAGGGTTGAGGAAGAGTTGTTGAGGTGGTTAGGGTAGAAGAGGATGCACATACAGCCTGCTATGCCCCGACTTGACCTCTTCCCCCGCACATCCGCGCAGGCGCAGAGGGAACCCGGTTGGTTCTATTCAAAATACAATTTAGAACAACAGTAATGCATTAATCATGTATATTTACATTATAAAAAAATATACAGTATAATTATGGGAATTTATTTTCCACAATAATAATAATGATAACAGAAATAATAATAATAATAATAATAAGAGTAATAATAATAATGATAATAATAATAATAATAATAATAATTATAATGGAAAATTTTATAGGGTGATTACCTTTATGTACCTCAACATTACATGCTTACAAGTAAACTCATTGGGAGACAACCATATGGTTTACCGTAGTCACCCCGTGTAGACATGTGAGAAAACTTAACCACCTCTGGTCACGGCAAGTGGTTCCTTCGACCTCACAATCTTATCCATATCTATCCGAGACCAGTATGGATTGGATAGCACCCACAAGTACGGTGCTACTAATTAATTGTGGACTGTATAGATTATATTAGTTTAACTGAATGATAGGGGGTGGGGTAGGTTACACATGGATATATCCATCAAGGAAAACACTTGTACATAATCCCACCACTTACCAGATATTCTCTGGTGGTCACTTGATGTAGCTGGATCACCCATAACCTATCCAATTACAACATACCTAACTGGCCAGTATCAGTCTGCTATAACTAGAAGGGTTACTTAACTGTGGGTGATTGATACTCCTTATTCCCTCCATTCACCATCTCATTTCGATGTCCTGCTACACCGACACGGTTCTTATTCCAGCAGGACGAGGTATCCGTCGGTTTGTCCCGGTTTAGAAGTCGTGATTCCATAAAGCTTCACTATCCTCGGTACGAGAATCACGCGTTCACTCGGAGCAGGGCGATCTATTTCACATCCTGCATTCTCTTAACTTAATGTTATTATCACTGATTACATTATCATTCACGAGACGATTTAACGTCTCATAATTATTATACACATTAGAGGTCACTGGAGTTTACCTGGAGTTTACCTGGAGAGAGTTCCGGGGGTCAACGCCCCCGCGGCCCGGTCTGTGACCAGGCCTCCTGGTGGATCAGAGCCTGATCAACCAGGCTGTTGCTGCTGGCTGCACGCAAACCAACGTACGAGCCACAGCCTGGCTGATCCGGAACTGACTTTAGGTGCTTGTCCAGTGCCAGCTTGAAGACTGCCAGGGGTCTGTTGGTAATCCCCCTTATGTGTGCTGGGAGGCAGTTGAACAGTCTCGGGCCCCTGACACTTATTGTATGGTCTCTTAACGTGCTAGTGACACCCCTGCTTTTCATTGGGGGGATGGTGCATCGTCTGCCAAGTCTTTTGCTTTCGTAGTGAGTGATTTTCGTGTGCAAGTTCGGTACTAGTCCCTCTAGGATTTTCCAGGTGTATATAATCATGTATCTCTCCCTCCTGCGTTCCAGGGAATACAGGTTTATTCATTACCTTTGTAACTTGTGAGCTCATTACCTTTGTACCTAGTTCAGCTATCAAAACTTTGGGGGCCCAGTCCCTGGACCCATTACGTACCTCTGTAATCTGTAAATACCTTTGTAACTTGTCATGATTGTGACCAGACTTACCTGGAGTTCATTACCTTTGTAAATTGTGAGTTCATTACCTTTGTAAATTGTGAGTTCATTACCTTTGTAAATTGTGAGTTCATTACCTCTGTAACTTGCTCAGCTATCAAAACTTTGGAGTCCAGTCCCTGGACCAATTATGTACCTCTGTAATCTAGGATGGGTATGGGGTGCATAATAAACATATTAAACTAACTACAGCCTGCAAACAGTAGAAAGAAGCTTATGACAACGTTTCGGTCCGACTTGGACCACTGACCAGTCACACCGTCCCAAGTTGGACCGAAATGTCGCCATAAGCTTCTTTCTCCTATATGCGGGTTATTTGTACATTGTTCCAGTCACGGTATGCTTTTTTTTGTTCTTCATAATAGGAAGATAAAGAGGGGGTATAAATGGGGAGTGGAAGGAAGGAAGGAAGGAAGGTTGGTTTGGAGGGAAGGGGGAAAAGGAGGTTTTTGACTGCTTAGTAGCTTGATAATCCAGTATATTTGTGTATTACATGTGAGTGGAGACAAATTGTTTTCATAACTTGACGTGATGTTATGAGGTGAGCAAGACAACATTTATGAAGGGATGCCGGGGAACTGGTCAGCAAAACTTGAGTTCCGGAAGTGAGAAATATACTGCCTGCACTCTGAACAGGGAAGGAAGGGGGGGGGGGAGCTGGGATGCTGCAGTCCAGAGGGTCATCTGAGCTGTGATGTCGGCACAATTCTAGCAAAACAGGA